TTCTGTCATGAAAAAGAAAGTCTTATGTCATTATCTTCTCTGAATGTGAGATTTTGGAGGGTTCTTTGGTCATTTGGTCATCTGTGGTCTCTGTAGACTCTCTCAGAAACCTGCTTGTTCTGATGATCTTTGAAGAAGTATTTTACTGTTTTCTTTTTGTTTGTGGCTGGGGGGGTTTTGGGCGGGGGGGGGGTTTTTTTGTGGTGGTGTGTTTGTGGCTGTGTGGGTTTTTTGCAGTGTGTTCCTGTAACAGTTTAACTTTACATTTAATTTTGGACTGATTCTCTCTTTCCTATTTGGATAAGCTTCAACTTTTGAATTATGTCATCATACTTCAAGTAGCTTCCCAGACTTTTGTGGCTGGCTGGCTTTTCATGCTGTCCTGTCTCTTCAGACACTGCAGAAATTCATACCAAGTGGACTAGTATTGCTTGTAAATGAAGCAGTTAACCCATAAGGGCTGTCCAACAGTAAGAAGGCTGATAAAATGTTATGTTTTCTGCTGGAGTGGAATTCCATATTTTCACCTGGTATTAGATCATAGCTGAAGCAAGTGAAAACAAGTAGTTGTACGACAGTAATCTAATTTTCTAACATTTTGCAGATCTGTATTTTGAGAATTAGCTCCGCTATGGAGTGATAATGAACTTGTTCTTCCTATAGTGAAGATCTTGAGGAGGTGACTTTCTCAAAGCTTGTGGGATTGTTACGTCCTGGAGTCCTTTATTTCTGTCAAATTTGCAAACAGATTCAAAATTCGGATGCTTGTATATACACATGCACACAGAGGCATTGCACAGCCCTTGTAATATTAAGAAAGAAAACAGTATGAGTTCCAAAGGGTACCAGTTCAGTATCATTCCAATTTTTACCAAACATTTGATTTTTGACAAATTTTACTGTTACAATTTCTTAATAACCTGTAGCATGCAGGATAGTTCTCGTTGTTGAACTGAGTTACTAAGAAAGACTCCTTGTCAAGTAATTTCATGTTCTGAGGCATTATCTCTGGTGAATTGCTTATTTAGGCTCTTATGGAATCTCTAAGGAGAACTGTTCATTGTGATATCTTCCATCAGCTCTGTACTAATGCATTCTATGCCCATATTTATGCCAGCAACAAGTGTGAAATTTAGAATCTACATGAGGCAGAAATGACTCGGCAACCTTTACGATCAGAGACTGCTAAAGTACATAAGAAGCAACAGTAATTTTGGAAGACTTTCAGTAGTTCCTATCAACTTGGTCACTGTCATTCAGCAAACTATTTTCTCAAAAGATTTAAGAAAAGGTGTGAACAAGTCACTTCTGAAGTCATCTGTCATATTGAAAATTTTTACTTTCCTACTTGTTTGTGATTGTGGAATGTTGTAAGAGACAACATGAGCTTCCACATTCCTTTTCAAGGATGGCTCTGAGCTCATGTGGAAGCTACACAACAAAAAAGGGATTCTGCCTTCTCTCTTATGAAAGGGAGGAAATATTTGCATTGAGTCAAACAAACAAACAAAAAACCCCCGTAAAACCAAAAGTGCACATAAAAACCCCACAAACCACACCATACAACCCTGGAGGTTTTAAGATTGACTTGTCTTCAATAATTCTTTTCATCCAACTTTTGTCAGCTTTGAAGGGGGTTACATTCAGGTTTTACCACCTCAAGTATCACAAGTTTTCCTCTAGAATTTGTGGCTTTCTTGTGCTATGTTCTTTTACGCTCATGGGAGGCAGATATCCTAGCATTTATTGCATTAGTTCAAATAGTTGAACTCTTGCAACCCTTTAGTACAATTTCTTATTTGCACATCTCTGTGCCCTTCTAGATTCTCTTAGCTTAAGGTACTAGTGGAATTCCATTTAAATTAGGCTGCTGAGTTGTATAAATTGCCTGTAAGCCTTATTCTAAGGGCAGGCTGAATCACAATCTCCCAGGTTCTGAGAGGTAAGTTCATTCAATGTTTCTGGACTGAATGCTGAATAACCTGTCCTAGGCGCATTCTCATTCCTTGCTGAAAAGCTAAAAATGTACCTATTTTTTCACAAAGGATAACCTCAGTAATGGACGGGAGCAAGGAACTGTCACCTCAAGATATTACAGCGCATTTCCAGAAAGGCATTAGCAGCTTCTCAGTATGTTTGCTGAGAAATATCCTCATATTTGGCATCTGAAGAGCAGCTACTTGGAGTTCAGGAGATTGTTTGTTATGTACTTAACTGAAATATCTGGAGAATATATTGTGTGATTCTGCAGTCAGGGTTAGGGGTTTGGGGTTAGGATTAGGGGTTAGGGCTCTGGCTTCCATCACATGAGTTACGTTGCACCTCAAAAGTCACCTGCATTGGAAAATGCATGTACAGGCACTTGTAAAAAAGGAAAACTGATTAATGCAAAATATGTGGAATTCTTCAAGATGCATTTTTTGTAATACATCCTCTTTTTCCACTCTCCCTTTCTGGTCCACCCATGTAAGGCTTCTTTGAAAGAGCTCTTTGTTTTTGTAGAAGACGAGAGAAGTTGGTGCCTTGTCATTGGTATTCAGAAGACTTACAGAAATAAAATGGATAATACAGGCAAAAGCTTCTCCTGAGTTCATGGACTTTGTGTTTACTAAGCTTAAAAACATACGTGGATAACTGATTTTGACATGTAGACGCTTCATATTAAGTTTTCCCTCTTTGTTTTTTAAACTGGGAGAAGCTTTAAAAGTACATATGTAGAAGATGAAGGAATTAATTTGCTTTAAAATCATGAACAAGATACGTAAAATACTTCAGAATATAAAAAAAATTTTGGGTTGCTTTTTCTCTTTTATTTGTATAAACAAAAAGCAGTACAATGCAAAGCATACTTAAGGTTTGATATTAGCATGAGTAATGTCCACAGGATAAACAACTTTTTTTTTTTTTTTAATGCTATGTAAAACTGAGATATTTCCACTCTATAGTGAAGTTCTCACATACTCTGCTATCCCAGCCACCCATTATGTACAGCTCAGGACTTAGTGAGCCAAAGGTGGTTTCTCTGTAACTCATAAATTGCTTCTTTTCCATGAGAAATTCTAGGCCTGTAAACTTGAGGATGAGCAGCTTATCTCTCTGCTTGTCTTGTGGAATGCTGTGTGAAAAGATGCATAAAAGTTAGTTTATCTCAATTTCAATCTACTTTAAACATTTCATTATGCTGTATAATTCCACTAGTAAGATATTTTTATTGCTTTCCTAGCTGAGGTTCTGATTCTGATGCAAGCCTTATCTTGTCAGGTTCTTGTCACAAGAAGCAGTCCAGACTTGGAGATCCCCCTTTTCATGTCAGATCTTTCTCTAATGGTTTATTCCTCTAAGGAACACATCACTCAAATGTGGTTTCCTTCTGGAAATAGAGAATGGTCTGGTGTAGCTCTTATTTGCTGAGGCAGCAGGTAGATGGTTAAAGTAGTTTTGTGCTCAGTGAAGCCATTAGTGAATTATTACCCCTTTAAGAGTTTTAACAGGGAACATCTAGAATCTTTTGCCTGTATTTGAACCATGGTTCAGTGCCGATAAGACATACCAAATTTCCTGTTTTCCCCTCCATCTTCTTAACACAATTGGGTTAAAAATAACTCTCAGAAAAAATTATTTTTACCCAGGCTTGTGATTAGCATTGTAGCAGGGATTAACAAACAGTTTATTATTGCAAGTGAAGGGCAGCAAATGGCTCTGTGAGAATGCAAATGCATAAATAAGGAAGCACAAGCACAGGGGACTCTTTAAAACACATCAATTATAAAATTGACTTTCATAAGCGTATTTTAGTTCATTTAAGTTTCCTATGCAAAATAATTCACGTATAGTTTTTTAATTTCTTTTCAGGTCTGTAAACAGCCAGTACTGCAGAAAAGTTATAGGTGGGATGGTTTGGAACCCATCTATGAGACGATCTTTGTCTGTTGAGCATCTGGAGACCAAAAGCCTTCCATCTCGATCACCTCCTGTTACCCCTAATTGGTAAATCCAGTTTCAGCCTTTCCCATACCTTCCAGCCTCCTACCTTTTCTAATTGTATGTACTCTAGCAGAATAATTATGTAGTGTGTACATATATTTTCAGAATAACAATGTTTAAGTATATATATATGATAACAAGAGAAGAGTGGGTGTCACTTACCTCAACTTTAGCAAGACTTTTGATACTGTCTGCCAAAATATTATACCCAAGTTAAGACATTATGTTCTGAAAGGGTGGACAACAAGATGGTTTAAAAAAAAAAAAAAAAAGGTTGAATGATTGGGACGTCATCAATTCAGACAGTTGTTAATGGGTCGTACTCTACCTGGAGGCCAGTAACAAGTGGAGTACTGCAGGGATCTATCTTGGGACCTGTCCTGCTTAACATCTTTATGACCTGCAGGACGCAATAGAGTGTTTGCTCATAAAGTTTGCAGACGACACCAAACTGAGTCAATACGTTTGGGGGCAGGGCTGCTATCCAAAGGGACCTTGATAGTCTGGAGAAATGGGCCAATAGGAAATGTATGAAATTCAATGAAGACAAATGCAAAGTCCTGGAAAGGAAGAACCCAGTGCAACAGTATTTTCTGAGGTGCAATCTCTGGAAAAGGACATGGTAATCTTTGTAGGCAGCAAGCTGTACATGAGCTATCTGGTGTGCCCTGGCAGCAAAGAAGTCCAACAGCAACCTGGCGGTATTAACAGAAGCATAGATAGTAGATTAAGGGAGGTGATTATCCCCCTTTTGCTCAGCATTCATTAGACCTTATTAGAATGCTGCAGCTGCTTTTGTGTCCACTAATACAAGAAAGATGCTAACAAACTGGAGTGAGCTCAGCAAAGGCCGCCAGCCACCAAGGTAGTCAGGAGGCTGGAGCAACTTACCCTGTGAGGAGAGGCTGAGACAACTGCATTTGTCCAGCCTGGGGAAGAAAGGGTTTCAAGATGCCTAACAACAGCCTGGCAATGCTTAGGAGGAGGCTAGCTAGAGGATGAGGCCAGGTTCTTCACTGTTGCATGGTGGAAGGATGAGGCAACAGGTATGTGTTGAAACAAGAGAGGCTCTGTCTGGACATAATGAAAAACTGCTTCATCACAAGGACAGCTGAGCAATGGTTGCTTAGAGAAGCTGTGCGGTCTCCATCCTTCAAGTTTTTTGAGATCTGACTGGATAAAGCCTTAAGCAGCCTCCTCTGACCTCAGTTGGCCCTGCTTTGAGGAGTAGGTTGGACTAGATGACCTCCGTAGGGGGTCCCTTCCAACCTGAATTATCCTATGATTAAAACTTTAACAATACAGGTAGCATTTTAGAGGCAGGGGGAAAATCAAATCAGTTCAGTGCAGTGAACCTAGTAATGTATGATTGCCTAGTATACCATACAAAATGTTTAAAAAATGATTATTTAAAGTGAGACCTGTAGGCCTGTCATGAAGATTTCAGGACATAGATTGCAATAGGATAGAAATTTCACTTTATCAAAGTTTTATGAATTATTCTGATCTTCCAACTTGTGTTTGTGTTCCTTATTTTTAAGGCGGAGTCCTAGACTACGTCATGAAATTCGTAAACCACGACACTCATCTGTAGATAACCTTACAAACGAAATTAGTTATATTACTGAAACGGAGGACGTTTTTTATACATATAAGGGCTCTCCAACGTCAAAGGACAGTGATTCGGAGTTCTCTCAAAACCGTAGTCCACAGAGGAGGTAAGGACTTCTGCAAACAATTCATTGCCTGTTTTGATTTTTTTAAAAACACCAAACAAAAAACCAAACAGCTTTAGTATAAAACAATCATCATCAGTTATAATATTAAAATGAGTTCAAACAGTTTTATGTTTGCATAAGCTTTATTTTGACAAATTGCTAAACTGCAAATGCCATGACACAAAGTGACAAGTTAAAAACAAACCAGCCCTTCATCCCTAAACAATTCTCAGTAATTGAGTTCTCGGTAAAATTAGAGAAGCTATTAAGCCATGCCTGTTCATATCTGTTATATCCTGTTTCCTAGTAGCTTCTGCATCCCTTTCCTACCTGTTATAAACTCTTCCTTTTTTTGTGGGGGGAAGACTTATTGAACTCTTTTGAGAGTTCGCTTATGTTCTACTTCATCAGCTCAGCATCATCAGTTGAAAGAGTTACTGCATTTGAATAAACACAAGAACATAGTAATTCTAGAGGTCATCCATCTTTTTCTCCCTCAGAGGAATTGTAGATTGCTAGTCTAAAAGCAGTCTTTGCTTTTTGCCTTGAGGCATTTTTGCTGTATTCCTTGAGAACTGACTTGTTCTCCCCTGCAGTAGTCTAACCACTGCTAGGTTTGCTTCCAGGGCTTGAAGCACCTATCTTTGTGTACTGATTATTTGTTTGCTCATATATTACATTTTATGTGTGGCTTCACTCTTATCTTACAGAGGTACTTCTTAATGAATAACTTCAGATTAACACAATATTAACTTAAGAAGTAATGTACTAAGTTATTGATTGTTCAGTCTCAAAAAGAAAACAGAGCTACTTTAAAACTTTCAGCTGGGGAGAATACTATGTATTAAAATGCAGGTTCCTTTGTACTGTTACAAAAGGAAAATGGTTTCTAGTGATCCCTAGTAACTTTAAGGCAAGATGTATTTTGAGAAGCGATGCATTAATGGAAGCTGATAGGATCTCTGTGATAGTGTGCAGCTATTAATCATAGCTTTAAACTCTGGATTTAAACTGTTTTCTTCAAATTTTAATTAATTGTTGTTTATCATTATTATTATTATTTATGTATTGTTACTACATTACAGCAGAGAGGTTTCTATGAAAGACGGGAAAAATTAACATGTATGCATATTTGGAGTTTGTCACGGTGGTGTTTTAAATTGTTTTTCTATTTTTCTGACTGGAAGTCAGATGAACCTTAGTACTAGTAGTGTCAGTAATAGCCATGATAATATATAAAAGTGATGCCTTTAGATGTTGCAAATAGCCATAGATAGGAAGCCATGTCTTTCCTGTGTTTTAACATTTACAGATTATACACTTTTTTAGAGGTATTTTCTGAGTAAAAATAATGAGAGGCAGACCATAAGAGGAGATGATGAGGGTAGAAGCTGTAGACAGAAAACTAAGTTACCATGCTGTGTTCTGTGACTGGCAGGTTGTGTCCTGCCAGTTAGTATGTTGTTGGCTTTTTTTCTTTTATTTTCCTTTTTCTTTTCTTCCCCTGTAGTTTTTTCCTTTTCCTTCCTGTTTCACCTTTCCTATGCCTACTGAGAATGGAGTGGGAAAGCCTGCTTTTATGCTGTTTCTCAGACAGTGAAAGTAGGATGTTCAAAATTTGAAAATAGCACATTCATTTATTTTCTGAGCACTAAATGACTCTGCTGTATCTAAGTAATATCGTTCACTGTGGAGAAGATTACTGTTATTACCTCATATAAACCAAATTTTCTATGCATCTTATGCATTCTTGGTTTCTTGGGTATGTTTATAATATTTGATACTCTGCAGATAACTGGAAAAAATGCTTGCATAAATCTGATTAAGTTTGAAGTGTGTGTTTTGGAAGGAGAATGTAACGCATGGAATGAATGATCCGTTGTACTGTTACTTTTGTGAAGTAAAATGGTCATTAACACTTTCCTTTTTAACAGTTGAGGTAAAACATACAGTAACCGTACAAATAAAAAAAAAGTTTCTTCTCTACACTGAAGTTTTCAACAGTTTGTTAGTCCACATTCCAGTTTTTCTTCCTTTATATTCTTACAGTAGTCATTGCTTGCCTCACTCCCCTTGTTGAAAGATGTAAAGTAAAATTAAGTATATATGTGCAGTCAGATCTTTCTTTCCTTGAATGCTTTATTGAAAGAGGGAATCTTACCCTACCAACTAAATCTGTTTTATTAAAAAAAAAAGTTTAACTTGCATATCTTCAGTATTAAATATGGACAAACACTTGTCCTGGACTTTTGCCACACTTCAGGAATGTTTAGATATTAACTATAAATCACCTTGCAGTATACTGATAAAGCTATCTTACCCATTTTTGCCATGCTGGTCTTTAGTAGATTTGAATTGACATAACTGAAACATGTTATGGAAAAATATTGAAATTGTAAATCTGGTTTTCTTTTTCCTTAGAGGAGAGCCAAGAGTAGCTTCTCATAGTCCTGCTAATGTATGTTGTCTTTAGAGGGTTTTTTCTTTACTGCCTAGCCTGCCATCTGAGACCATCAAAAAAGTTAGTTAATGCTAATTATAACTAATGAATAGCTTTGATATGAAAAAAAAATCTGGAAATATTTTGAAAGCTCCTAGAAAATGCTGATTTGTAATTGCTGAATTGTTGTGTCTGGGACCTCAAATCGTAATTATAATCATGCAGATTTTTGTAAACTAAATATGTTTACATCAATTTCATTTACTGTATCTGAAGCTCAAGACAGTGCAAGCTGCAGTTAGCATAGGATATGGCTCTTCTCTATTTTTCTGGCTGCCATCAGCATTTCACGGGTGGGGGGCATAGTTTTCACCTCTTTCACTTCAGCCCCTGGGTAATGTTTTAAGTCCTCTTTGTCAAAACAAGTGGTCCAAAATAGACCTACCTTCAAACTGATCTGTTGTGGTATAGTGCTTTTTGAGACAAATATATAGGTAACGTTGTATAACAAGAGTTACTGTGTACCTAATCCTACCAAGGCACGTTTGGAACTTTGGTGGGTATCAGAACTGTAGAAGCCACCACCACTGCTGGCAGAATACATACACCTGCACTTATTTCCCTATATACCTTTTTTTTACCTCCTGACAATATCAAGTATAATTGTTTTCTTAATAACTGATTTTCTTCCTTGCTGTGTTTACTCACTTAAGGGAATCAATCAAGTTCTATTTTCTTTCTATAAAACAGTACACAATTTAGAAAACAAGTTATGTGGAACAGCTCTTAGTTTAGAGGGCATAAAACACCTCAGTTATTAACATTTCTTCTTCCATTTCTTTAAATATGTTGTACTGTATCGACATGTCAACACCTAGAACTATGTTTACTGTTAAATACTTCTAAATAAGCATGCTGGCGACGAGGGCCAAGAATATTTTGTCATTTATTATATTGTTTCTCTGAAGAATACAGTGATTATTTTAAAAAATAGTTTGTGTGAACGTTCTGCCTTCTAACTGAAATTTATGAGGTATATCCCACAGGCTGTGACTGGCAAAAAGAAAATTAGGAAATAGAGCAAATCATGCGCATAGGTGAACTACAGAAAACGAGGGCAAGCTTGTGTCTCGTGTTGATGTAGCTAGACTGCTTCTGCTACCTAAATTATCTAAGGTACTTTCACATTCAAGTACAATTTGAGGCTCAGACATAGTGAAAAGAAGCAATTTTTCTCTCTCAGTTAGTGTCTGCAGAAAAGATTGGAGCTGTCTATTACATATGTATTATAGACAAAAAATTGCTCTAATCCCATATTAACATATATTAAATAGAGCTTTATTCACAGGGTATGAATAGGTTTGCCTATCTAAGCCAACTATCTCAAATCACAGCTGCATACAAAACCTGTCATCAAAGACAGTGCTGAAGAGGACTTCAAGAGGACTTTTGTTTAGCCCAGGGCTCCCCAGCCTTTGTGAAGAAAGCTTCCCCTGTCAGTTCTTTCTCCTTTTTGTTGCCCTGCTGCTGTCCAACTCATCCGACTGCTACTGCCACTGAAAAATTAACACTAACACAGACATGGAGCCCACACTGAGCCTTCCGAAGTCTCATAGGTTGCTTTCTGTGTTATACCACACTTTTTGTTATGGCTGTGCCTCACCAGTTCAGAACAGGTAATCTAGTCTATCTTCTGATTATATGTTGTACTCACTCTGTCACTATATTTATCCCATGTCTACATACATATGCATTTGCCACTACTATTATTTTGTTTTTAAAATGATTTCAAGAATAATACTGAGATAAAACATACTAATCAGTAAGTGCACTTGTTTGATAACTGTTTTTCAGTTAAAATTGGCTTTCCCTAATCTTGACTTCAGCTTCCCTGTTTTATTTTCTTCAAGCTGTTTTTCTTGAGAGATTTGCATTTTCTTCATTGAAGCATTGCTGCTACTGACTTACTACATTTCTTATTTTAAGCAAGGTAGAAAACCTCTCTGTTCTGTGAAGTCACATATCTTACCTTCAGATGTCCTTAAACACTGAGGTATGCATTAGGGAAGGGTTATGAATACGAAGTCTTACGGCTTTTCTTTAAGATAGAAAATAAATTAAATTGTATTATGAGGCTTTATTATTTCTAAAGTTGTCTCTGCTGAAAAGCTGCATTAATTTGCTTTTTTTTTCAAAGTTGTGTCATACCAACAGGCTACCTGGCATCAACCCATCCTGACCATCTGCTATCCTGATAGGTAGCCTGAATAGAGCTCCTGGAAGAGCTTACCTTTGAGAAAAATATTTCCGTTTCAGTGTAACAGGCTTAAAACAGCTGGTTATTTTTAAAGGCAGGCTAATGGACTTGTGCAGGACATTCTTTTTGATCACAATTTTCCTTGTTTTTTTAGCCTGGTATGGTACCTGAAGACTACCACAGTTGTAGTTTATCTTGATAAAGGTACCACTAGAGTTTCCAAATTTGGAATGAGGAAAGCCTCACTGGTGTAGAGGAACAAATCATTGTTACTGATATGCCTTTCTGTGACACTAATGAAAT